TCTTTGATTTAAATCTTCTCATTTTTCCAAAAGTTCGAATTATCTTATTCCCCCCCTTCCTTTCTCATTTTTTGATTTTTATTTTATTTTTTTTTTTTATTCTGAAGTTTTGAATTTCTTTGCGGCACCCTTAAATCTGATTAGGAGTTGGTCATTCTTGCTTTTGGCACATATTTTGACCCCGTGGGCGTAACGAAGTGCCGCCGAAATTTTCTGTTTTTCTTTCACTTAGTATTTTTCAGCACATTTTGACCCCTTGGGGGTAGCGAAGTGCTGGCAAAATCTCCTCATTTTACGTAGACTTTCTTCTTGACGGCACACTTCAACCCCATGCGGATAACGAAATGCTGCCGAAATTGTTGAAAAATCAGATACTTCATTTCTCTCCACCTCCTCATCTACTTATTTATTTATTTAGTATTTTTTTATTTATTTTCTGAAATTTTTTAACTTGCAGCATTTTGAAACCTAGTGTACTTATCTTGGTCTCTCCTTTCCCTTGGCATATTCGTGACCCCATGGGGGGTAGGGAAATGCTGCCGAAAATTCTAAAAAAATAAATATTATTTCTCTCTTCACATTTTATTTTCTTATTTCTTTAATGATTTTTATTATTTATTTATTTATTTATTTTTATTTTTTTTCGAAATTTCGTTGTTTATTTATTTTTCCTCCCGCCTTTCCCCCCTATGCTTGCTATTTTATTTTCTTGATTAGGTCACCGGTACCCTACCCTAACCACTCAAACTCCGGTTAGGGTTTTCTTAGGGTTTTTCTAGGGTTTAGGGTTTTCCTAACCCCCCCTACCTTCCCTTCTCATTCGACCAAACTTGATCCGAACCACCCCTCCCCCTTTGACGGCGTCCGCACTCGATTTACTAGCGCCGTCCGTCGACTTCTATCGCAGACCTTCCCCTACGCCCTCCGCTCACGCGGACCTCCTCCGGCCCTATCTAGTCCGGCCCGTTACCTCCCCATGGCCGACGGCGTATCACAAGCTGCCGAGGCGGCGACGACCTCGACATCGGGTTCCGCACCCGTGCCGACGGACTAGGGCCATTAGCCCCGGGGGGATCTGCACACCCTCATCACCTCCCTCCTTGCGCCCTTACAGGTGCAGATGGCGACTCTTGCCGCTGGCCTGCGGCAACTCCAGGACGCTGGTCGTCCTTCCTCCCCCCACCCTCTCTCTTCTCCTGGCTCCCAGTTCGGATCCCTCGTCCTCTGACATAGTGGTCACGGCGGAGCTTCCTCCTATGCCGCCCCCGACCCGGCCATCCTAGTGACCGTCAACGCTCCTAGCGCGACGGCCACCACGGGCCCGACCCTCCTTCACTTTACAGGCGCACCCGCCCAGATTCCGACCACTACGGCATGAGACCACAACCCTCTGCCATGGTCTCAGCTTTTCCGAGTGCCTCGCTTCTCCCTCCCCTTCGCACGACCGCAACGCCACCTGGCTCTGCCCCCTGTGGGATGCCTCTCGACGCTCGTGCGTCCACTTCCCCCACTCTTCCTCTTACCACTCCTTCTCGATCTACGTTTGACGTCTCGAGGACGAGCTTGCCCAGACCCAGGTCAACCTCGCCCTCTTACTCCTTGAGCCACCCCTACCCTCATAGGTGCCTGCGCCTTCGGGCGCACCCCCTTCTTCCTCTACTCTCCCATTCTTGTTGGCTCGCTTCCCTTGCCCCGCACCCCCTCCAGCCCCATCCTACCTCCTTCCTACTCCCTCGGCTGCTGCGACCTCTTCGACTTCAGCTCCCTCGCAGCCTGCCGTTGTTCCCCCCGCTGCTCCACCATGCGGCCTGGGCGGACAGTCAAGGACCTGCGCCGACTTACTCGGCCGTAGCGCAGGCCTCTGCTCCCCGCTCTCCTCACCGCCAAAACGGTGGCGCACCACTCGTTCGCTTGACGGACATTGCCTTGCATGTTGGTACAGGCATACGCGTGTCTCGGTGGCGCACCACTCGTTCGCTTGACGGACATTGCCTTGCATGGGCGCCCCACCTGATATGTGGGTGGCTCACCACTCCACGCGCCTGCGTGGTGGTCCTTTCGACGCCTGGGAGAATTTTTACGCTTACTCCCTTCGTGCGGGTCGGGCGCCGACCTTCAGGGATTTCCAGGCGTTCCTCGAGGATCGCTTCGGAGCCCAACATGACGTGACCGACGCCTTCCAACGTGTCGTCACTATACGCTGGTCTGGCTCTGGTGGCGCTGCCGGCCTGGATTGCCACATCCAGGTTTTTCAGGACGCCCGTCTCATTTGTGATGTGGCGTTCCTTCCCGAGGCTGCTCTTATCGATCGTTTCTTGGCCAGCCTTCCCCTTGAGTACCGCTCCGAGCTGAGGCGGTACGAGTTCACATCGGCGCCGGACGCTTATGAGGCCGCCAGGGACCATCAACGGATGCGGGCCCGTTTTTAACACACTTCCTCCTCCCAGCCTCAGCGTACTGGTTACGCCCCCTCCTCCTTTCAACGACACTTCCTAGCGCCGCTCCCCTTTCCGCGGTCGCCCCCGCCGTTCTGCGCAGCAAGGCCGCCACTTCTCGCGCCGCTTCAGCGCGCTCGAATATGGTGAGCAGGATGTTGTTGCCCTGGTGTCACCAGAGGGTGACCATAGTGACGACCTCGACCTCGGCGAGGCCGTCCACTACCACCTGGAGGACTCTCTATGGCCGAGCGCCTCCAGCTCATCCTCTCTTCCCTCTCCCGAGCACGCAGCCGCTCCGGTCACGCTGGCGCGTCGCCCTCCGAGGTCCCTCAGTAGGACCTCCCTCAGGGCTTTGTCCCTCCTTGCGGTGTCCTTACCACTTAGGAGTGCGCGACTATTTTGGGCCGGCGTGGGTGTTTGCGCTGCCGCCAGGACGGTCATACCTCCTCGTGGTGCCCTTACACCGCCACCCTTGACCGCCACTACGTTGACCTTTCCTGCCAGCGTCGTGCTCAGGCCCCCCCTGACGCCTCACATCCCCGCGGCGCCTCCTAGCCACGGTGCAGTGTACACCTGCGCCCTCCTCAGTAGCTGGCTTCCCGACATCCCCGTCACAGTTTGCCCCTCTCGCTATTGGAGTTGAGGTCTCGCAGGACCCGACAGAGTGTACTTAGCCCTCTTTCGCAGTACCGTCTGCGCCTCCGCAGACCACCGCTTCCCCTCCTACCCCGTCTCGACTACCGACAAGCCGAGCCATTCGCTCAGCCCGTTGCAGTGACAAGCTTGCAACTCGGGAGGACATTGTGTCCTCTCTTCTGGACTTGAGCATGCTCCAGGCTCGTCAGGAGCAACTCACCCTTCATGTCGCTGCACTGCGTCGCCTTCTCGCTATCCTCTCTGACCCTGATCGCACCCTCCCGATCATTCCAGTACGACTGGGGATCTCCACGAGGATTTACTGAGCGCTGTGGGATTCCGGTTCTCAGGGCGACTTCATTCACCCACATGTGGTGAAAGAAGCCCGCTTACCCACGAAAAGGTCTCCGACTCCCATCTCCGTCACCTTAGGGGATGATAAGACCCAACGCTTCTTCGATCAGACGGTCACCGACCTCCCCTTCTTCCTCACCCTCGAGCCGACCGATCGTCCCCCGGCGTCTCGTCGCCACCGCTCCTCTGCACATTTCGATGTGATGGAGACGGGGTACGATTTCATTCTCGGTACTCCATGGTCTCGTCGGTTTCGCAGCATCAAGGCCGATTGGGCGACCAACACTCTCGTTCTCAAAACAAAGTGTGGACAGACATATCGTGTACCTTTCATAGGTACCACTGCGACACCACGCCCCGATCCTCCTCCCCCAGAGCCTTCTATGCCCACACCACCTCCTACGATCACTGTCACCTCGCCTGGGCAGTTCGCCCACTTCATCCGACACGACGACGTCACCTTCTTTATGGTGAACTTTACGGATCTCTTACATTATGATCCACCCTCTCCCGACGCGGAGCTCATCCCTCTAGAGCCAGATCCTCCTTCTATCTCCACGACTCCCATCTCTATTTCCTACCCTCCGTCGTTCGTCAAGTCCATCCCGCCATCGCGCGCTGATGCTGACGTTGAGGAACTCGCACGATATACGGCTGACCTGGAGCCCACAATTCATGACCTCATTCGAGAGTACCACGATGTTTTCTCATCGCCGTTCTCGTACGCCGGCATCCCACCGATGCGCGACGTCGAGCACTCCATCCAGCTTGTGCCTGACTATCGTGTTCACCACAAGGCACCCTACAAACTCTCGATCCCCGAGGCCACTGAACTCAAGCGTCAGCTTGAGGAGCTCCTGAGACTAGGTTTCATTAAACCCAGCAACTCTCCGTGGGGTGCACCCGTCCTCTTTGCTCGCAAAGCGGATGGAACTCTCCGTCTCTGCATCGACTATCGCGGTCTCAACTGCTATTCGGTTAAGAACAGCTACCCCATGCCTCGTTCCGACGAGCTGTTCGACCACCTAGCAGGCAACCGCTTCTTTACGAAGATTGATCTTTGTAGCGGTTACAATCAGATCCACGTCGCTGCAGAGGACCAGCCGAAGACAGCGTTCCGAGCGCGCTTCGGCCACTACGAGTTTATGGTGATGCCATTCGGCCTCGACAACGCACCCGCTACCTTCCAGAGGGCAATGAACGACATCTTCAGGGACATCCTGGAGCAGTACGTTCTCGTCTACCTCGACGATATCCTGGTCTACAATCGTACCCTTGAGGAGCAGCTCAGACACCTCCGCGACGTCCTTGACCGCTTGCGCAGACATGGGTCTCCACATGGGCTTCTACGCCAAGCTGAGCAAGTGCCGCTTTGCCCCACACAAACTGGATTTCTTAGGACACTACGTGTCTGACCAGGGTCTCCACATGGACGACGCGAAGATCACTACTATTGCGGAGTGGCCCGTCCCCACATCCGCCAAGCAGCTTCGTAGCTTCCTAGGCCTCACTAGCTACTATAGTAATTTCATCCAGGGATACAATAGGTATTCCTACGTCCTTACCTCCACTGTTCTCCGGAAGAACCCGCCATGGGTTTGGACACTCCTCCACGAGGACGCCTTCCGCGCCGTCAAGAAGGCGGTGACATGTGCACCGGTTCTTCACCTACCCGATTTTGATCACCCTTTTATCCTTACCACCGATGCGTAAGACTTTGCTGTAGGAGCAGTGCTTTATCATATTTTTCCCTCCTCTTCTGATTCCTCTCATCCTCGTATCCCTCGCTTCCCACCCCCTACCCCTACCACTGCCTCCCGCCTGACGCCTACTCGTCAAGCTACTGACGAGCCTTCAATTGACTATTCTTTTACCATCGCCGAGGACGACATTGTCGAATCTCGTTCAGGTGATTGTCCGATAGCCTTCTACTCCTGTCAGCTCCTGTCCGCCGAGATAAACTACACCGCTGATGAACGTGAGGTTCTCGGAGTAGTTTATGCCGCTCGACATTGGCGTCACTACCTGCACGGGGTACCATTCACGGTGCGCACGGACAACTCTGTTGCCAGACTTTTCTGACAAAACCGAAGCTCACTCCTCGACAGGCTCGCTGGTGGCGCGACCTATCTGAGTTTAGTTTCACCACTGAGCACATCAAGGGTGAGACTAATCAGATCATAGAT